GGCGGGACAGAGAGTAGATCTCCATACTGTAATATTCTAGACAGGGTATTGTGCGTGTGTGTGCGTGTGTGTGTGTGTGTGTGTGTGTGTGTGTGTGTGTGTGTCTTGTCAGAACGGCAGCGGCGGTGGCTCACATGTTCATACACCTAGTAGAGGAACAAACTCTCCGTTCGCTGTTTTCTTATGGCACACGCTTCGTCTATTCGGGTGTGTGTGTGTGTGTGTGTGTGTGTGTGTGTGTGTGTGTGTGTGTGTGTGTGTGTGTGTGTGTGTGTGTGTGTGTGTGTGAGAGAGAGAGAGAGAGAGAGAGAGGAGTGACACACATCAACAGTGCTTAATCTCCTGCTAGCGGTTCAGGTTTCTCTTCGTCTTTGAGCTCTCTCTCTCCCTGCTCCTTCCCTCCGGTCGGCATCTCACTCCTCGTTTGGTTCCAGGACATGTGAAGATGGTGATGATGATGATGATGTAAACAGAACGACAGACAGATATTGCAGATGTTTATCCTCAGCTTGTAAGGTCAGGACTGTGTAAATTTCAGCAGTGTCACTGAGGGGCAGTAATGGACAAACCCTTTGTACTATATTCAAGCGGTCTTATGTATGATTATAAAAACAAAGTTGCTTAACTCACCTGCTCTCCTCTCATTTCTGCTCGTCCACTTCTTCCTTGTCCAAACCATCAGCAATCTCAGATCACGGGCCTGAAGGTGAAGGGGCTGATGGGGGATCTCGGCACGGTTCGAGGACAATCACACTCCACCAAACCAGAGTCAGCGTGAACACATCAGCCGGTCAGAAGAACTGAAGCAGACCTCTGAGGCCTGACAGCCCTTCCCGATCCCCCAATGCACCCTATATTCCCCGTGTTTCCATCCCCTTATTTTTATCCACAAGCCCACATGAGAAGCGCTGGGTCAGTGTGGAACACACGTCAGACAGACAGCAGTGATATCTAGATGTGCTTTGACTTGTGTTTGATTGCAGACGACACAACACGCATTATTAATGTGCTCCTGATGATTATTACAGGTTAAACATGTGTTATAATCAACAATGCAGACCCAACTCTTTATAATTTAGGGTTGTACACTGAATTATCACATTAAACTAGCTTAATGAAGTGCCAGAGTAAGATTATAGGTTTAATCAGCATCTTTGGATGGAAGCAGAGCTGCAGATGTGTTTCCAGCATGATGAAAGTTGAATTATATAAATCAAGAAGCTCTTCATAACACTTCCATAACACTTCCGTCCTGATTCTCCTCATCCTCGGTTTCTTTCGTTTATTATTGAGGTGGAGGTGAAAACAGCGGGACTGTTCATTTACCAAGTGATTTACACTGTTAACAGCACAGACTACAGAATATACAGATATATCCCACGCTAAACATGTACTGCAGATTGTCTTCTCTAGAAATCTGTGAGTGTGTGATCGCTGGATGCGGTGCTGTTGAAGACCGATAATCACCTTAGTTTAATCACCTCCACATGCCTGATGCATTATTCCGCATTACAGCTCTCTTCATGACTCTACATGAGCGCCTGTGCAGAGCTGCTGTAGGCCAGAGACACACGGCGGAGTACATGCTCCACTCAGGCTGAAACAGCAGTATTACTGCTGTATTTACTGTAACACACACACACACACACACACACACGGAGAGGTGCACTGTGCGCTCTTGTGCCCAAGGAGCTCCACACACACACACACACACCTGAAGTGGTCGCTGTTCACCAGTCTCTCCATCTGAACTGTTTCTGTTTGTCATTTCTAGCCTAGCTGAATACAGTAGATCCCGTGTTCTGTGAGCAGCATGTCCTCCCTCAGGTCCGCTTCACAGACCTCATCTTAACGCGACTGTGATTGGTCCGCTTTGTTCAGCGCTGAGAAAGGTAACAGGATGGCGGTGAGCTCATCATGGCGTAATGCGGCTCTGTTCAGCAATAGTGCCTGTTTAAAGACGACTGTGAGGGCTAGACGTCAACAGAACACAGTTACACGCTTAATTTATTAACAATATGAATATAACTCGGCATAATTACTTGTTTATACTCTTGTGGTTGGTGGAGAAGAGCAATATCTATAGGGGAAGAGGTAAACGGTAATAAAATGCAGTTAATTTATTTAATAAGTGTAAATGATTATGCTTAACGAGAATTATTAATTTTATTTATTCAATAATGAATAAAGTAACCATATAAAAGTATTTTGATTGTATTTATTTAGCTCACGCCAGCGCAGTGATGTAAGATATGAGAGTTACAGCAGTGAAGCGGCTCCTCAGCTCCGCAGCTGTTCCCTTAAAGACTTCCGGAGTGATGGACCGGAAGAGGCGGTGCGTCGCGCGTGTCAGCAACAGCAGCGCGGAAGAGCACAGTGTTGACAGTATGGCAGCGGCTCCGGGACGCGTTGTGCCCGCGCGTTGAGATGCTGATCACGCTCTGCTACATCTACCTGTGGATGCGCTTCCAGCGGCGCTACGCCTCCGTGATCCGCGACGCGCTGCGGGGCCTGAGCGGCGGACACCGCGGCTTCACCTTCCGCCAGCAGAGCACCAGCAGCCCGCAGAGCTCCGGGGACACACTGCTGCTGCAGCTCGGGGACCGGGGAGTGTTCATCACCGAGCCGCAGGTACACACACACACACACACACACAATCTTTTGCCAATATAAACATGTCCAACCATGCACACACATAAACACACACACACACACACAACTTTGTGTCCCCATAAACCAGTATAGCCATGCACACATATCCGCCTCCCACCATGCCCACACACACACACACACACACACACACACACAGTTCCCTGTGCTCAGCAGTTCCCGTGAGCTTCACCTCTCCCCGACCGCAGCACATTTCTCTTTGTTAGCGTCTGTGCGCGTCTCCACCCCTCCTCTCCGCTCAAAGTGCCTGCAGTGAGCATCGTTCACGGGTCATTACTTTTCAAAGAAATTTAAGCGCGGGATGCCATTTAATTTTTCCGAATGTATTCCGTCATTAGAGATCTTAGCTGTCAGAGTGATGCCATTTTTGGTGTGATGTGTTTGTTGCCTCATTTCTTTTAATTTTACCTCCATTAGCTTAATTCTTTTTTAATATTTTCATCTAACGAACTTTACAGTTCATTTTGTTTGAGTGTGTGCTAAGCGAGTTTTATGAAGCAGGCAGTTGGCTTTTCCCATTTGCGGGGCGGCGGCGAAGGCGCCCGGTGCTTCTGTCAGCTTATTTTTGGCACCTTAGCTTGCGGTTCTGCTTCTGTGCCT